TAAACTGTGCAAATCTTATTGTTTCTGAAACACCCACCCCCATTACCCCAGTCACTGAGTCAATCCATTTCATCCAGGCTCTTCCTCTCCTGCACTGTCCCTCCACCATTCCAAGCTTGAGAACCCTCTTCAAGGACTGGTCTCTCCTTGCAACATGTCCAAATTATGTCAGATGAAGCTTCAGAATCCTTGCCTCCGAGGAGCAGCCTGGTCGCGCCTTCTCTAGGATGAACCTGTTTGTTCTCTTAGCAATCTACAGAATATTCAATATTCTTCTCCAATACCACATATCATAGGGTCACAAATTTGATGAGTAGTAGAAGGGATGGGTTAAGGAAATGGGAACGATCCAGTGTGAAACCAATGTATAAACATTTTTTAAGTAAACCAATATAAAATAAAAATTGTATTATTAAAATAAAGAGCCAGAGGTGGGGAACATTTTTAGTTGGATCATTAAGGGATCCAGGCTCCTATCGTAGCAGCTCTACTAGATGTTGGCACAGTTTCAACAACCTTCATCTTCTTGTTCTTTATTTGTGTTTTCTGCTTGGGACTCAGCAGACATGAATAAAAATGTGGTGACACTGTTGTTCTCATCTAACTTAACCAGAAAAATTCTGCAGACCAACTTGTGTGATGACACCCAACCAAAGGAGCCTATCACAGATGTATGTGTGTGATATAAAGTCACTGGGTCTGACCCTCTTCATTGTACTGTGGTTATTTTGGATTGAGACACCATCAGCTTTAGCCTGGGTAGCCTTCCTCAGATGATGGAGCCACTTCTGTTCCTGTTGGCCTTTCACCTGTTTCCTGGAATTATAGCAGGTGAGTGACTCTCTGCATCCTAGGAACCTGAGACTTATTTCCTTGAATCACTTGTACTCCTGGCCCTTCTGCCCAGTGCTAGTAAGGAATTCCTTCCATGTAATCCAGAATCTTTAGAGATACGAACTTCCATGTCAAACCCAGACTAAGCAGTCTCATATTGGATAGAAAGATGACTAGACACCCTG